CCTTACTGACTCCAGACTAACGAATGCAACCGTTCTCATCCCCAGGTCGTCAAATGCCAACATTTTGTCATGCCTCTCCATGTCTCTGAGTCTGTTTATACCTGGTATTAACATTGTGTGATCTGATCACAAGTGGACAGCTCTATGTCTGTCTGTTCATGTCTGGCATTAGAATGCATCTCCGCATGTGTCGCTGACTTTCCTGCTGTATATACAAATAAACATGTGAATCATTTCCATTTGCAAAGACCGAATGTGTTGTGTGTTTTATAAGCGGCAGGTATGCAGTGCTATATGCACACTCGAAGCCTTTATTATTTAGGATTAGGCGTTGGTGTTCACAAAAGAATGTGGCCAGAGCTGTCCACTTGTGATCGGATCATATGAGAAGCATGTTAATACCAGCTATAAACAGGTTCACAGTGATTCAAAGCACACCCTTCAGCGCCTCTAGGTTCGCAGTGATTCAAAGCACACCCTTTAGCATCTCTACATTTATAGGGATTCAAAGGACACCTTTTAGCACCTCTAGGTTCAGTGATTCAAAGCACACCCTTTAGCGTCTCTAGGTTCATAGTGATTCAAAGGACACCCTTTAGCAACTCTAGGTTCATGGTGATTCAAAGGACACCCTTTAGCATCTCTAGGTTCATAGTGATTCAAAGGACACCTTTTAGCATCTCTGGGTTCATAGTCATTGAAAGGACACCCTTTAGCATCTTCATGTGACGCACAGCTGAAATACATTGTAACATGTGGTTCATGTTGTGAAATGGTCACAGTTAGATTTTAGCAACAAAATTACTTGGTAAGGTTTAGAAAAAAGATGTTTTGGGTTAAAAAAAGTGCATTTGTTACAACAATAACAAGATGTAACAGTGATGACTGTACAGTAATTACGTAATGTCACATTTAAAAAATATTGAACTTTGGTTTACACAGTGACAGGACACAAACTGTGGTCTCCTGGATGAAAGTCTTGTTTAGTTTGACCCGACTTTTTGCTTTTTGTACATCAGTTGCTCTGAGTTCCAAGTATTGTCGCAGATGGGTTTACATAGAAGTTAGTCTAAACCAGTGATACCCAACTGGTGGGTTGCTGTCCAAAAGTGGGTTGCAGGCACATTCTGAATGGACCACAAGTGACTTGCAAAAGTTTGTAAAAAAAAACAAAAAAAAACAAACACATTTTCTTTTTAATACAGCAAATTTCTGGCACAGAGCTCTTACTTTGAAGTGATATTTTCAGTTGTAGAGTGAGTGACTAACTGACACCTACTTGACAGAGACAGCAAACTAGCTTGATGACATGGCCAAATGCAAGTATGATGCTGAATGTAAACTGTGTGGACCTTGAGCTTTTGACTAAGGAGAAATCTGAACCCTGTTGCTGGACCAATTGGGAACCCCTGGTTTAAAGCCTGGTGTGTCTCATGCTAAAGGGTGCCTTTGGCTTCCATATCACATGCTGAGGGGGCATGACAAAGCATCAGTCTTTGAATACCTGTTAATGAGAACAGGCTGACTACTCATACTATTTTATTTTGCTTTTAATTCCCCAAACCAATTACCACTGTGCTGAAAAGCAACCAAGCTAGTGGCCCCAGGTTTGCTATGTATCAGTTAGTTTGTGACACTTCGACTAAACTAATATATTTTAGAATATGCACCATATAGGTGCACCATAAAGTCAAACAATTAAGATTATAAAGCTAGATTTAACACATAGCCCCTCTTCATGACATGACCAAGAGTCAGTGTCTGATGAACTTTCATGTTCCTGTCAAAGTTATAGTTAGCTTTTATTTATTTTTCTATTTATTTTTTACTTAAAGTCACTTAACAACTTACTATTCAACAAATCATTTCAGCAATAAAACACATCAAACCACAACTTCGCCCCTAATCATGCTGAGGTGACCCCCTATGTAGGTAATGTTATTAGAGTATGGGTAAGGAATCCAGACTTGTAAAATTCGAAAAGCCAGTTGCCTTTCAGTTGTGCCATGACAAGAAAAAAACAAGACAAATGCTTTTTTTAATTGAAGAAGACCCACTGTGAAGTCACTGACTGAGCATAATAAAAATGCATGAACTTCATAAAGGCCTACATTCAAGCCCCGAGAGTATTCTGAATATACAGAGTTCAAATATTTAACTTTTTTTTACTCTCAAATGGTTTTTAACTTTTGGCAAAATGAAGCAAATTCAAAACATAATGGTAACCACATTGAGCTGATAGTTGCCACTGAAATGAAGACACGGCAGAAAGCCAAATCCCTTATCTCACTAATTAATGAAAATATAATGATGTTACAAATGTTTTATTTTCAAAGAAATGTGTGGGCAAGGAACCCTGTAAATAAAAAAATAGAATTTTGGGTAAATGCATTCCTTGTAAATTTTACAAAACTGTGCCTTTCATGTTTGGGTTGAACTTTAAAACTTTGGATTAACTGTGAGCAGGCACCTGTATCTGTTCAGAGATCAAACTATTGCCATTACTGTTCTAGTAGTTTGTTGTAAGTAATGCCAGGCTCACACTACACAATATCAGCCTGATTATAGCCCGACACGGTGTCAGCTTGGAACATGAAAGAGAATGTAGTGTGTCATAGTTAACGACAACTGACGCCATGTCTGGGACGCCTCACGACATCCCGACAGAAAGTCTAGCATGTTTGATTTTCTTTATGTTGTTCACGACTTCTCCCATCACAGCCGCCACTTTGACCAGTAGGAACACTGTGCAATCTGCTGCCGCAAAATAGCAAGGGGTTCTGACTAACCACAACTGCAGAGGGTACCAGCTTCACTTGAAACAGACTACATTAGGTACGGGCCTTTATTTTTCATTCCCTCTGAATTTTTCTATTTTACTTTTAATCCTTTCCTGTTTACCCTGGTAAAGTTAATGCATCATACCATCATTTCAAACTGAACACTTCCTGTATCCATTTAAAACTAAAAGCCAATTATAATTTCAGTTGAGAGAATCCCTTCATTTTCTAAAAAGGCTTTTATAAGGCCCGTTTCCACTGAAGAAGTTCCTGGTACTATCTGGGGAGCAGGAACTACTACAGGAACGTCCTCTTTTAACAGATGGCATTCTGATGTTAGCTTTGCTGCTGCTGTTAGCTGTCCCTGTCAGCTGCAGCCACTGATGCTTTCTAGACATCGTGATTTCCCAAAACTGAATAAATACCACACATAGCAACACAAAACTGCTTTGCTAGCTCAATCATGTTGTAACTAAGATATCCGCTGGAAAAAATATTTTTTTCACGGACCATTTAATGAGTTACTGAAGCTATGAACGAGCTAACCCTCGTCGGCTGAGTTTTAAAAATGCTGGCTATTTTGCTGCTTTCTGTTGACGTCACATCCCGTCTTGAGTATATCCAATCAGCACCAAGTAATCCCCAAGTCCCAGCCAGGAGTTTTTTGGGGCCTTTCTGAGTAACTACTCCGAGGCAGGGACTTCTTTAGCCCCTGTAAAAGTTCCGGAACGCTGAACAGACACAGTGACTAAAATAATAGTAATGCTGATAAAATAGTACAAAAACAACCCAATGGCATCATGCACATCATGAAAGACACGCAGGTATGATTGGCTGCTGACCAATGTGTAGTCTGTCATGTCGGTCAGCCAGGTCACGGCACGATTGTATGACTCTGCAGTCGCCTAGTCTGACAAAGTGATCTTTGGAACAGACAAAAATGTTGCATAGTCTGAACCTGGCATAAATAGTAATGGAGGGTTATCTTGTGTTGATATGTAAAGCCCCGTTTCCACCAAACACTTTTGGTATGGTACCTTTGGAACCAAAAGTACCCAATAGACGTGGTTCCTAGACCCTAGTGTTTCCACTGCAAACCATACTCTTAAATGTGGGCGGGGTTGCTGTCGCTCACTGCTCTGTCTGGCAGTCACTGTATTTCTAATCACCAGAGACACAGAGGGAAGTCTGCACATGGGATATTTGAAAATAGGGGTTTGTGCATTTAGTCCTTCTCAGACAAGCTCAGGGGTTTAGTGTTGCCGTAGCCCGACACTAAGCGACCCATTTGTTTCTCCAAGTGAGGATTAGAATATATGCAGTTCACAAGGCCAAAATTAATATGTATAAATGCTTAAAGATCCACTCATTACTAAAAGTGTATGTCATGTAAAAACTTAAGTAATGATCAAAGTTGTCATATGGAATATTTAAGGTGTGTCGATTGATTCACGTCGTCACCTCCGGCATTGAGTAACATTACAAGTTAACCTTCCACCTTAACATCTTTTCATCTTATAATTAAATTCTCCATGGTATGAACAGTGGTTGCATAAGCTTCAAAACCAGCCACAACTCAGCCCTGAGCAGAGTGACCATCCACTACTGATCAATCAACAGATTGCAGTGTTCACAGCTCCACCTTTTAGTACCAGATCTGTGTGCTAGGTACAGCAACAGAAGGGGTACCAAATGGTTACATCAGTACCATCCACAACTTTTTGCATTGGAAAAGTGCACTGAACTGAACTGAACTGAACCGAACAGAACTGCTCGGTGGAAAGGGGGCTGAAGTGTTCCAACTGACCCCACCCTCCCCTACAGGTTAATTTGAGGCTAAGTAGACTAATAAAACATGAAAAATAACAGAGTAACTACAACAGTGTGGCTTTCTGTAGACCAGCTATTTTCCTCACGGGAATGAACTCCCATAGAAGCAGCCTATTATTTTGAAAAGTCATGTTATGAGCTGGGCCTGCCTTTGTGTTATTCAGCAGGTGTAACTACAGGTAGCCACGGCCCACTGAGTGGGATAAGGCCTGCAGCACACCCAGCCGTGGGTCAGCAATAGGCTACCAACTGATGCACATGTATTATGAACACATCACAACTGATTTGTGACCTGCCCTGGAACAGTACAAATGTAGTAGGCTACTTCTAGGTCCTAACTAACAATGTTTTACTTCTCCGTGTAACGAGCCATACCGCTGCCGTGCCCACCTCCTGCAGCTGCTCCAGCTCCAGCCTCAACGTCTCCTGCTCGGCCTCCAGGTCGGCGTACTGCTGTTTCAGGCTGTGGTTCTCCTCCAGAACCACCAGCCCGCACTCCGCCGCCCGGATCTTCTCGCGGTTGGCCTCCGCCAGCTCCCGGGTCAGGCGCTCCACCTCGGCCCGGCACTGTTCCACCGTGTCTCCGCATCCTGCTCCACCGGCAGCCATCGCTCCCCTGTCCCTCCCTCTGCCCTCTCCTCCCTGCGTCGGCTGAGCAGAGAGCCCCGCCGGGGGGAGAAACAGCTGAGGTAGACAACAAACCCCCACCGCCTCCCCTCAGAGGAAATCACAGCGCTGCTTCAAATCTCATCAAATAAATAAATAAATATTAGCATTAAATAAACATCCGTAAATGTCCTAAAAGCGTTGACATCATCACCAGAGAAAGTCATCTTCTGCCATGCGATGCTCTAAATGATGCAGCTCTTCATCTCCAACTGGCCGCATCCTTCTCCCCTCCCTCTGCTCTGTTTTTCTGCTTATTCACCGGCATCAGGGCGCCATCTCTGCCCGCAGCCGTGAGGCAAGGCACACTCCCCGCTCTCCGTCATCCTGCTGTAGGCTCACAGGGTTTGGATCCTCAGTGAAAGGATACGGCTCTGCCTCACATAATGAAACACACAGTATCAGGAGGTGTATGCGCCCTCTGGAGATCAGACTGATCATCATAGACAAGTGTTCTCTTTGGTTTTACGCAACATTTTATTTTTGTATTACTATTATAAAATACGTCAACATTTTTCTTTAGGTTTTTTTATATGTTTGAATGTTTAATTCACTGATAATAAACTTGAAATGTCCATTCAGGTTATGTAAACAGTAGGTTGATCACAGGTTGTAAATAACTCCAGCATTTCCTTCCCTTTTTGCAGGATTGTGAAAAACTATTATCACTTTTGTTAAAAAAAAATAAGAGCATCTATGCTGTCCCCAGCCCCTATACTTAGCTGTCTCATACCTGTCTCCTTCTACTTTACCAGTCTTCTCCCATCTCTTTCAGGGATGTAATAACGTTTCCCACACTCGCTCTTCCAAGTGCCCCTTTGACATTGTTCCTCCCAGATTACTTAAAGAAGCCATTAGCGTTATTGGAACATCCTTACTCGTTATAATGGACCGATCACTCTCGTCATGCCATGTTCCTGATCCCTTTAAAATGGCAGCAGTTTCACCCCTTCTAGGCACCACACCCATTTCCTAGCACACCAACAAACTATAGACGTATTTCTAAGCTTATGGGGGCAAACAAGGGGCAATGATGCGAGACACACCTCACCAACAAAGGTGACAGGGGCTCATGACAGCCAGCTGTTGGCTTGGCTTGAGTGTCAGGGCCTTTATATTTGTCTGCAGTCTTTGACAGAATTGATAATGCTATTCTGATTGATCAGGAAAATGGGTTAGGATATCTGGTATAGCACTTCACTGGACAAGGTATCCATCCACCTGTGCTCCTTTAACCCATGGGGTGCCACAGGGGTCAATTCTAGGACCCATTTTCATTTTATATGCTGCCCTTAGGGTGCGTAATTCGTCAGTTTGGTTGTGTGTATGCGTGCGTGTGTGTGTGTGTGTGTGTGTGTGTGTGTGTGTGTGTATGTTTTCTGGTCTGGAGATATATGATAAACAATAGAAGTTCCTATGCATTGAAATCAGTATAATTTTATATTAGCACAAAAAAGAGAACATAGACACAAATAAGTCTGATGGCTGACTAGGGATGTTTATTCTTAATAATAAAATATTTAAATATTATTCCTGGGACATGGGAGCTATTAGTGCATGCAAGTAGCCTACATCTGTATAAGTGTAACCACATTCTACTCAATAATATGTTGCCTTTATATTGTGTGATCACATTAATATAATACTTTCTAGTTGCATTGATATTTACATGTAAATGTACATTATACTAAAAAAATTATATCATCACTGTATACTTTTGGCAAAATATACTGTATCACGAAAAATCCTTTAGATAAATAGAAAATAAGGAAATATTCCATATGCACCCTGCATTCAGACAGAGAAAAAGACAGGTTTGTCTTGCCAAATATAATATTTCTGCATCAATCCTAGGACACTGGTATTAATGGGTGTGTGTTTGTTACCAATGTTTAGTTAGACATTACCTTTTTGTCCTTGATGATATCTTAATCTACTATCACATACAGTAGTAGGTTATAAACCTTTATATCCATGCAGAACAATGCATTTCACTGTAATATTTTATTTTATTCTTCAAAACAATATTCTAGAACAGGATTACTGTGTAATCCTAGCCTGACAAAAATATAAACACTTAATGTGTGTGATTGACCAGAATGTGAAGAACAGGTGCTCGATTCCTGCAGGGGGCAGCAGTACGCCGGAGACGCGTGAATGCTACCATGCAACACAAGAAGAAGATGTTGTCGCGCCTTCAAAGTAAAAGTAAGAAAAGTTTAATTTAAAAAAAGGTGAATTGATATCGCTTTACATTTTTACCGTTAAAGCTCATATCATAAGGATAAATTACATCACTGTGTGAAAAACGTACAACACCTGGAATTTTGGGGAAAAGAACTAAAGAAAAATACTGTACACTATCCACTATATATATCACTAACAAGCTGCAAAGTGCTAAGACATGTCTGATAATATGCGTTGCATTATATAACAAAATAACGACATCAGACAAAATATAGGCAATAAAAATATATGAGCTAGTTGCGATTCATACCAAAACAACAGCCAAAGGCATAACTGTCTCTGGCCTGTTTGACTTATTTGACTGATAAAGTCAGTAATTTAAAGTTATAAAATAGTAACAGCATTTTGGGGAAAAAAAACAGACTTTGAAAATCTATATTTTGAAATAAAAACAGATGAAACTGGGGGAAAAGACCCACAAATTGTGGAAAGAAGCTAGCTTAAATAATATTTTATTATGAAGAATGAATAATTTAAAAAAAACGGTGGTATTATTATTATTATTATTGTTTTATCCTATTCAATTATTCATTCATTCATTCATTTATAATTTAACTGTGATTTTTCAGTCGAACAGTAGTCGTTTGACTATGAGACACTTTTATTGTGAAAAATATAACACCGGAAGTGTTATCTTTGTTGTGGCTGACGGAATACCGGCTATATCATCTCGGCGGTAGTTGCGCCGCGTTGCACGTTGCTAGATAGTTGCAATGTTGTAGCTATTAGCACGACAGCTATTCCTTCGCTGGGAGGGAGACCCCACGTTTAGTTCGACCAACCTTCCGACTAATTCTCACTCTTTATAGCCCAACCAGCGGCCAACTGCTGGCCAACGGAAATAAATCATCAAAGTAACGTTACTAGCTAGCTAACTTATTTTGTCAGTCTCTTAGCCCGCTAGCCTACCCCATTAGCTAGCTAGCTAGCTGCCCGCTAGCGTTGAACCGTCTCCTCCCTCAGTGCGAACAGTCTCCTGCCCGGCTGGAGGACCATGGCGATGAGACAGACTCCGCTCACCTGCTCCGGTCACACCCGGCCTGTGGTGGACCTGGCCTTCAGTGGAATCACTCCCTATGGCTACTTCCTCATCAGCGCCTGCAAGGGTGAGACTAACAGACAGCCTTCAGATAAGTTTTATTTAAGGGGTCGGAAAAGGTCCTAACGTTAAATGCCAGACACTGGAAATGGTTCCAAGACATAGTTTAATACAACATGATGGCAACTTCACTCTCCATCATGGGGCATACAGTCAGAAATCAATCACTGTCACACGTCACGCCTTTGTAGGGCTGAGTGACGTGGAGAAACTCAAATGTCACGATTTATTGTAATGAAGCTTTTAAAATCATGAAAAGACAATTTTTATGATATTACGATATCCAGAATCTAAAACAATTTTTAGTATCTATTAGGGTGTTAATGGTATGAGATTTTCAGGTACAATAACTGTCTCGGAAACCATCGCCATGGCAACGTATCACGGTATTACAAAATTATTATTATCAGTCCAAATCACTCAAAGGAATGAAGATGATAGGGTTATTTTTGGTTGGATAACGATTTTTTATTATAATTGAAACCATTTTCTAATTAAGTGCTAAGAAGTCTCCCATTTGAAAATAAGTTAAATAAAGGTGAGATTCTCCGTCTAGTTGCCTTACATTCAATATCATAGATGTACACAGTATGTTAAATGTCAACTTTCATATCTTGGTATACCTTGAAACCGGTATATTGCTGCAACTGCACTAGTCTCACATGTTACCGATATAATACCGATGTATTGCCCAGCTGTAATGGAGGAAATCAAGTACCACTATATTTTTGACCAAATGTCTTGATATTGATATTGCAGCGATATTGTAGGGTTGACTGTTGGTGCTTTCACAAAATATTTACACAATGAGATTTTCACAAATAACCACCAGTAATGTGGAGTCAATGACCAAATGAGTAAAGACTAATACTGGAGCAGCTAGAGCAGTCTGGTAAGTAAAGTAAATTACATCTCTTTATTGTAATGCAGCCTTTAACACCGGGAAAAGAAAACACTTTTATTAGTAAAAGTACCCCCATACTTTTTTGATATCCAAGATTTTATCTAGTAGCTTATCAGGGTATGGACATAATATTGATGTACTGCCCAGACTAGTGATGGGCAAATGAAGCTTTTGTGAAGCACTGAACCACTTGAGCCAATTGTTTCGAAAAAGGGTTCATTACTCGAAGCTTCAGTTACAGTGACCTCTCCTGGCGAAGTGCAAGGCTGCAGTCAAATTAGGCAGGCTAGTTGGTGGACAGGAGGCGTTTAATTACACACACACACACACACACACACACACACACACCCCTCAATGAGCAGTGTTGGGGAAACTACTTTACTTGGGTTCTGAAGCATCTTTGCTTTGATCACCCTTGGATTTAAATGTCTGCTTTGAAAATTGATGCGCACACACACCAGACTGAATATGTTCCATTTACAAATAAAGACTGATGAATGTGTGTATTGTGTTATTGAGGAGAGAGTGCTGGGAAAATATGGCAGAGGTTGGGTGTGCTTTTGTAACTATGGCAGGGGGTGAAAATGTGCTTGTGTAACTATGGCAGGGGGTGATTATGTGTGATGGGGAACACTCAAAGATTTTTATTGTTATTATTATTACATTATTATTATTTATTTATTTTTTCCACAGTATTTGGATTGAGCCGGTTTCTTTTTTTGCTCACAACTTCTCCACATTTGGAGAATACTCGCTCACAAGGAACAGATGGTGTGCATAAAAATTGTTTTGCGAGCTGAAACAGATGAGGGTACACATTTTTATGGTTCATCCAGTAAGCCAGTGGGTCTTCTGATCTTTCCAGTGGTGGATCGGTCATGTACCGCTGCACCTCCACTGTAGCATCTGCTGTGGCATTCCTTCCCCTCCTTGCTTCAGAAGCATCTCTGTCCAGCATTTCCCAAAGGTTAATATCTGAAAAACAAACATGACAGTATTCATCAGTACTTATTTTGTCCTGCATTAAATCTATTCATATTTATAACATTACCTGTGGATGATGGATTTCCAACATTTGCTAGTGCTGGTTGAGCTGATGTGGAGGGCTGTTGTTCTGTTTGTGTGTCAGGTGGTGTGTGTCTTATTATTTGTGAGCATTCTGCTGTCAGTCGTCTCACTGCTGCCTGTGCCTGTACTTGGTTGTAGAAACCAAAGGTCTTGAATCTTGGATCCAGCAGTGTTGACAGGGTCAGTGCAGTTTGGGTCTCCGACGTGTCGAACTTGCTTTGCATCAATGACGCCATGTTCTCTCCCAGTGTTTTAGCGGTGTTGTGGCTTATTTTTCCCATTGTGTCATACAAATACAACATCAACATTTTTATCATTGGGATGACCTTTGACCCTGACACTCTCTTCTCTTCTGACAGTTCTACTGTTGCCTGGTAAAAGGGGGCAAGCAATTGCAGGCATGCAGTAGCTGTTTCGTAGTCCTCAGAGGACAGAGGTCTCACGTCTGTTCTCAGCGTCGCAAGAGCTGCTCCCACTGACTGTCTCTCTTCAAAAAGGCGTTGCAGCATGAGGAAGGTGCTGTTCCAGCGTGTGTCCACCTCCTGAATCAGCTTCTTCACTGGACGATTCATCTGCTCCTGCACTTCTCTGAGCTTCTCTTTTGCTGTTGTGCTGGTTTTGAAGAAACTCACCACTTTTCGTGCCCTTGTGCGTAGGTCTTCTAGGCCAGGAGTTGCATCAAGTGACTTCTTCACCACTAAATTTAGTGCATGCGCAAAGCAAATTGCATGTCTTAGATTTAGAATTCTGACAGAGGCAACCATATTAGCTCCTGCATCGGTCACAATTGAGGTCACTTTGCCTTCAATGCCCCATTCCTCCATGAGAGACCTCGTTGCAGCAGTGATGTTAGCAGCTGTATGAGTTTCAGGGAAAGGCAGCACTCCCAAAAGCACTGTGGCCAGCTTCACAGAGTCATCCACATAATGGCTGGTCACTGCTAGATATGCATCCATATTAATGGAGGTCCACATATCAGCAGTCAGGCTCACAGCCTCTACCTTCTGCATGACAGCCTTGGCCTTGGTCTTCTCCTCCTCATATCTCTGGACCACCATGTTCTTTAGAGCCCGTCTGGATGGGAGAGTGTATGTGGGATCAAGCAATGCCACAAACTCCTTGAAGCCACAGTCATCCACGATGGAAAAAGGCTGCGAGTCTTTCACCACCATATTGACAAGAGCCTCATCTAGCTCTCGCTTCCGGTCCACTAAGACAAATAAATAAAGACATAAAGAAATAAAAAGAAAATGAATAAAAGAAAATAAGGATTTATGTGAAATTGCATTTAAATGAAGCAGGCCTATGAGTCATGGAATACAGTCATATCATATTGTGTTAGTGTGTCTAATTAATAATAATATAATATAGCCTACCTTGATTTGTGTTCCCCTGGTTAGTAGCTCCATGCTTGGCAGTGAAGTGCCTAATCATGGAGGAAGTATTCCCGATACTTCAGTTCAGTTGAACACACCAAGCACCAGACCTGTAGAGAAAGCAATTTGTAAATAAAAATGCAATTTGAGTCTATAAAGCTATAGCCTAATGGCTACACTAATCATATACATCATTTTACTGTGATGCTAAGTTACTTAATATAGACTTTAGATACAGCATACAGTAGCTATAGTAGTACCGTACTGACAGCTACTGTTGTAAATTATAACTTTACTTTTCCTACGTTACATATTAAACATAAAGCACACCTACCTTATCAGGAGCGATCAGATTGAAGTGTTCCCACATGTCAGAACGACCTCTCTTCCTGGCTGGCTCCATAATGATCCAATACAAACAAACGCAATACCAACAACTCAACAGCAATAACACACCAACTACGACAACCAACAAATTGTGCATTGTTTAGAGCAGTTTTAACAGTGTTGTGGCGCTCAAATTCAAAACTGTCACAACCTGTCAGCAGTCAGAATCGAGACAAGGCGGTGCCAGTGAATCACCTGATTGGACTGCAAACCAGTCAGGTGATTTATTCAGGCAACGAAGCAGTTGCTGCTTCGGACGTCATATGTCACGTGATTTTTTTCCGCACCAAAGCAAGTTTTGAAGCAGTGGTTTGTAGTCCAGGGTTTGAAGCACGTATCGAAGCTTCAGTGTCGCACTGCCATCACTAGCCCAGACCCAGTGTTAACCTATATGAGAGAGTGAATGTGGTTTGATTAACCAGAATGACCAGTCATTCAGGAGACATATGACCCACAATGAATGACCACCCCACCCAAAGACACAGGTATCTTTTTCAAAAATATACATATCATTACAATTCTCCGATCTTCGGAAAGTTAACAAATAAGGTCATCCACTATTTTTCCCGAAATCTTAATCTGCAAAAAACATGGAAACTTTCAACAATTTTATAGGCACTTCTTTACATCTAGAGTTTTCCTGTTGTGCCCACTATCAGTTGACTTAAGTTTTCCCATTTGTTTACCGTCACATGACTGAAAAGACGAACATCTTAATGAAATAATATAATCAGAAAGCCCAAGTTAGAAAAAAAACGTGTAATCCAAAGTCATATGAAGCTGTGGGATCTTTGCTTTGTATTTTGACGCCACTGGTCAGGGGCTGATGATGCCATATTTTGGAATTCATCTGCTATCAGTCTGACATGATGTGAATTCCTTGTTTTCTAGGGTAAGCTCGACCTGCCTTACTCCGCCTCTGATTAGCTTACCCTGATTTTCTACCAAAACCTAACCAGTCTCACTCCTCATGCCTAAGCCGAACCAACCTCGACAAATCATTTCTGGAAAAAGACATTGTTATTGAGGGTTTCAAATGTTTTTTGTTGTTTTTGTTGGCACTTTGAGCACCACAAGCTGAGTGCCTTCTAGTTCCATTATACTGGAGAGAGAGCAGACATCTCTATGGCTGATAACTCAAACCCTCAACAACTCACACCAAAACAGTCTAGACTCATAAATAGCACTACAGGGTAGAGGAAAAATATGTATTTGGTTTTGGGGTGAACTGTCCCTGTTGCTGACCCACCAACTATATCTTAACAGGTTTGTTCCGCTCTTACTTAACCCCCTAATTAAAAATTTGTTCTCAGAAGTGTTTGGCTTCCTTGAAGTCACCATTACAGTGCTAAATCACATGTTACAGTATCAAAGTGAGCCAGTCTGTGGCTTGTTAACAGACACCTGTTGACTGCAGTAACTACAAGGTTTGTCATAGCTGTCATGTGCTGGAACATCATCTTAAGATGCACAGTTAATCTTTGTATCCCCCCCTTCTTTCCTTTTGTCAGATGGCAAGCCCATGTTGCGCCAGGGAGACACAGGGGACTGGATAGGAACGTTTCTGGGTCACAAAGGCGCTGTCTGGGGAGCCACTCTGAACACAGACGCCACCAAGGCAGCCACCGCCGCAGCTGACTTCACAGCGTGAGTAGGGAGTCCTGTTCAGTATGGGGCCTACAGACACCTGCGTAGCTGTGTGTCAGGGAACAAGATGTCTAAAATAATCTTGTCATCTCTGAAACATCTCTCTCTTACTGTTTATCCATTCATGTAATGAGAGATTTTTTGAACTGTAAGGATAAGAGTTACTCTAAAGCCTTGGTTTAAATGTGAAGTGGTCAACAATCTGTCTACCCAAACCCCTCCAGAAACTGTAGTTTGAAGGATATTTGATGATGCTGTGGTCCTTCTAGTCATGCAGATTATACACAAGTGTATTTGATCAATTAATATTAATTTTAATTTAATTGTATATACTTTATTAATCCCCAAGGGGAAATTCAATTTTACACTCTGTTGTCAATTACACACAGGTCTGAACACACACATGCACAAATTGGACCTATACATGCACTAAGTGGAGAGATGTCAGAGTGGACTGCCCATGACAGGCGCTCAGAGCAGTTGGGGGGTTCGATGCCTTGCTCAGGGGCATCTCAGCAGTGCCCAGGAGGTGAACTGGCACCTCTCCAGCTACCAGTCCACACTCCACATTTTATGGTCCGGACGGGGACTTGAACAGGCGACCCTCTGGTTCCCAACCCAAGTCCCTATGGACTGAGCTACTGCCGCCCCAATAATACTGCAGATTGCAGCAAAGCAATAAATCTGAGTTTTACAAAAGGAAGCATGTGTCCTGAGTCTCCAGGGGGCCGTATCACAGAGCTAGATTAGTGGGTTAGCCAACTCTTCTTGGGTTTGACTTTTTAGCATCACAGTTGGTTCACTGTTAATTAGAGTGTATCACCATGGTAACCTGTGCTGTACAGATGCTCTGGAGGAGAATAACTTAAGAGCATCAAAACACTTAAACAGCCCTTGTAGTGACAAATCAGCTCCTTGGGAAAGTGGAGTGATCTTTTCTGTAAAATCCTGACATGGATAACCCGATACCCTCCTATCTCTGTTTTATTTATCGGTATCTTCTTTAGTTGTGTTTTTAAATCACTGAACCAGCCCTGCTTTCAAAACCATTATCTGCAATATTAATACTGAAGCTCCATGAACTGTTATCAATGAAAAGATGTCCTCTGTGCTTTTCAGAAAGGTGTGGGATGCAGTGAGTGGAGACGAAGTCCTCACACTGGCACACAAACACATCGTCAAGACTGTCACCTTTACTCAGGTCAGTGTAACATCACACAAGATAATATGTTAATCAATCTGATAATTTTTGAACATATCCTGTATGATTGTGGTGTATCACTTCTTATTATGCTCTGCCTCTCCTCTCAGGACAGCAACTACCTGCTGACTGGAGGAAATGACAAGCTGCTGCGCATCTATGATCTCAGCAACCCTGAAGCAGGTAAGCACACATGCCTCACTTTTGGAGGTCTTCATCATTTGCTGTTAATTTTGCTCTGGTTGGTGCAACACTGCTCTGTAATATTTTCTGACAGTTATCACACTGAGAATATCTCGTACCTCTGTCCTCGAACCCTGCCCCCTACAGGAGCCAGATCTCATTTAAAAGATGCAAAGTTATGCCAGTCGAACCCTGACATTTGTGTTTAATTTTCTATCTTCTAAAGTTGCTGATGATTGCCTTTCTGTGTCCTCTAGCCCCTCAGGAGATTGCAGGTCACACCTCAGCCATAAAAAAAGCCTTGTGGTGTAACAACGACAAGCTGATCCTCTCTGCTGCCGATGACAAAACCATACGGTCAGTGAAGTAGCTTCTCATATGGGCTGAATGATTCATCAAATTCAAACCTTTGTATGCTGATGTAAAAGAAATGTTCAGACTGCAAAAGCTGGGATTTTTTTTACATGGTGTCTGAAGGTCCTTAAAATGTCTTAAATTGAGGTTTATTATTATTAGGCCTTAAACATCATTAAATAGTGAATGTCTGAGGTCTTAATTGCCACAAACATTTTACCTAATTTCATTTATACATTGTTCAATTTTTTTGTCAAAATAAGTCGAGCTCTTCTGCATGAAAGTTGGCATTTCTGAAGTTCCAAATCTTTAAAGCTATGGCTGAGTCTAATACTGTCTGTTTACTTTATACTTTATACCTGTTGGCAAAATTAGATCAAACTAACTCACTCTAATAACCATATTCCTACATAAAACCTACCTCTGCATGGTACTTCATACATACCATGTACTTAACATATCAGTCTTAATTTTGGTAAAAAAAAATATCTTGAAAAGGTCTTCAAAAGCATTAGATTTAAGTTTCTGATACCTGTAGACACCTTGTTTTAATGCTACATAATCTACCAGGCCCTTGCAAAATGCCACGCACAAACTTGGATGCCCATAGTACTGCTGTGTGAAAATGACAAGTGGCTGCATTTAAGTACAACCCATAGTAACATATTACGGTGTTGTTAGAGTGGCGTAATATGTGTGTAGTGATTGTGTGACCGAGCATGAAAGTGGATGCGCTCAGAGTAGACAGGTGTTGGTGATCTGAGCAGAGAGCAAATTGGCTGTAAAGTTGTCAAGTGTTATTAAATGTACAGTGCAGGTTTCTGTTTGTCCATAAATTAATGCTGCAGCTCCTCAAGACTAAGGAAAGTTTCTGTGTCTTGTCTCCCAATTAATGGTAGGTTAATTAGAGTGGGTTAACCCTGAAGTGAGCATCAACATCTTGACCAGGGTCTAGAAGCTGGAGCAGGAGCGGTTTACAATGACGTTTTGAGTTATCTAATTATATAATAGTGGTAGAGCTATAGACAGTGTACACTTCAGTTTGTGCAATCTGTTTTAGTACTGTTACTGAAGGTAGATGAATAAGATTCATATATATTTTCCAATAACAGGCAGCACAGTGGTGCAGTGGTTAGCGTTGTCGCCTCAGAGCATTAGGGTTCCTGGTTCTAAGCCCAGGGTGGGGTGTTCAAACCCAGGGTTGGGGAGCCCCTCGTGTGGTGTGTGCCACGGCCTCCTCCCACAGTCCAAAGACACTCAGGTTAATTGGTGACTCGCCATAGGTGTTGTCTGTCTCTGTGTGTTAGCCCCATGATAGTCTGGTGACCTGTCCAGGGTGTACCCCACTTCTCACCCAGTGTCAGCTGGTATAGGCTCCAACCTTTGTTTGAGCGTCAGTGCCCACATCTTCAAACCTCAACTCATCATCATGACAGTGTCTATACTCTGCTGCCACAGAGACAGTCATCTGTCTGACAAGTCACTTCTCTGCCAGCAAACTTACCACAGACCTTTTTAATGTTAAAGCCTATATTTTTGTGTGTGTCTGTGTGTGTCCAGGCTGTGGGACAGGAGCTCCATGGAGGAGGTGAAGACGCTGTCATTCGACACATCAGTGAGCAGCATGGAGTACGTGGCTGATGGAGAAATTCTTGTGATCACATATGGAAAGACAATTGCTTTTTACAACGCTCTAAGGTACGCTTTACTCTCACCATACACATCTCAGAGACAAACAACATGTCCACACTGATGGGAATAGAATTAAATTTGACATGTCAAATGGGATTCTGTGCATAATATATTTTTGTGATTTATAAGAACATTCACAAGAACTTTTCAGTCAGCAAACAACTATTACAGCCAGGTAATGTGAGTTTAGCCAAGTGTGGCTGAATGAACAGAACGCAGATTTTACATGGGTAGTGTCTGGGCTACTGAAAGTGACCACAGTTGTTCTTAATGACCAGCTATGTTTAAATAAACATTACCACTACATGGAAATACGGCTTGGGAGAATAAATGATTCGTATAAGGATCGCCATTCTTCCAGAATATTTACTGGAAAAAATATGCTCAGCTGAACCGTGTGAGCACCTGGACAGTTCAGTGCACATACACCTGAGTTATTTTGTAGTTCATCTTAAGAGAAAGCAAGTGTTGGAGACATTTTGGATGTAAGAATGTAATAATTTGCTTTGCAAGACGGGTTGAAGTATCAAGTGAATACCAGCCAACCACCACACAAGCCCTGCTCTCATACAGTGTTTTGGATAATGATGGGTTTCAATCATACTCACGCTGTAACAGAGAGGCTGCTCTCCACTGCTGGAGACAGAATGTTTATCAACACAGCAGAGTGCCCAACTTTTCTTTTTCTTTTTTTTACCCCCTTATTCCAGAACACAAAGACCACATAGACCCCTTTCCCTGCTAACACTCACTAACATTGTAATCAATCAATCAATCAATCAATCAATTTTATTTATAAGTCCAATATTACAAATCACAGATTGCCTCACAGGGCTTTACAGCATACGACATCCCTCTGTCCTTAGGACCCTCGCAGCGAATAAGGGAAAAATTCCCCAAAAAAACCTTTAACGGGGAAAAAAACGGTAGAAACCTCAGGAAGAGCAACTGAGGAGGGATACCTCTTCCAGGACGGACAGACGTGCAATAGATGTCGTACAGAACAGATCAGCATAATAAATTAACAGTAATCTGTATGACACAATGAGACAGAAAGAGAGACAGAGAGAGAGACAGGACAGACAGTAACGGTAATAGCTTACAACAACATTAATGAAAGCAATAATGTTGAAAGTAAATATTAATATCTGATAGTATACATATATGACAATAATCATATGTGTATAATAACAGTAGAAGTATGAAGTAATGATAACAGAAGCAGCAGGAGGCATCTGGCAGGACCACAGCAACAGCACAACCACACACGTCACACCATCCAGGCATCGCTGTGATATGAGTTAATCTGAGAGACAGTGGAGCACAAAGGCTCTGGAGAAGAAGCCGAGTTAGTGACATGCAGTAACAGGACATGAAGGAAAGAGAGAGAGAAGGTGCCCAGTGTATTATAGGGGGTCCTCCGGCAGACTAGGCCTAAGTCAGCCTAACTAGGGGCTGGTACAAGGCAAGCCTGAGCCAGCCCTAACTATAAGCTTTATCAAAGAGGAAAGTCTTAAGTCTAGTCTTAAATGTGGAGACGGTGTCTGCCTCCCGGACCGTAACAGGAAGATGATTCCACAGGAGAGGAGCCTGATAGCTGAAGGCTCT